AGAGTAGGACCGTGGACGTGGTACATTCCCAGACGTTTCGTCGGCATCGTCAGTGAGTCTCGCCATTCGTTGCATCATATTACAACTCGTAAAATGGGCAAGTGAAGCCCATCCTTTGACCAAGCGTGTGCTAAACAGTTGTGGTATCTCCCCTTATGTCCTGGGCTATTCACATTTCCTATATCCTCCTATCATGCCTTCCCTGTCACAATTACCGCTACGAATAGCGAGACTCAATGACGTTGCCGGCGAAACGTCTGGGAATGTACCACGTCCACGGTCCTACTCTGGAAATGATTGCTGAATCTCCAAGTCCGCTTAGACAGTACGCAAAATTATCGCTGTCTCTTCCTTCCAATCTGCTGTTCATCAGATTTCTTTGAAAGAGGTTGTTCACAGTCTGCCTGATCTTCCCTTTCCTGTGTTTTCACCATATGAGGCCAGTCTGCGTTGCATTCCAATCAATTGTGTCTTCTGTAATGTGTTTCGCTATCCCCGATCTTTCCGTATCAATTTTTCTGCATAGTCGCTGGTGTTCTTTGATCTCTGTGCTGATTGTCCTTCCTGTCTCTCCTATGTATCCTTGTTCACAGTCCTTGCGGGTTATGCTGTAAATTCCGTAGCACTCTATTTTGTTGGCTTCTTCATCTTGTGGGAGCAAGCTTATAAGGAAGTTCTTCCTTTCCTCCAGGGTTGTACGGATGTTCCATTTCCCAAGTATTGGCCATAGCTTCCGAGCCGATTTGCAGGAGTATAGTCATCCATCATTTTTCCTCTGTTCCTCTTGCTTTCATTTCCTAATCTCCGTCTTATTTATTCATCACAATCTGTATGCTGCGCTGTATCGCTTCTTAAGGATATCCATTTCCAAAAAAGATTTGAGCTTGTTTTCCCATTTCCTCTTCCCAGAATCAGTGAGTCGTAAGCTTTTTATGACCATATTTCTGAGTATTCCATTCTTCGTCCCATAAGTATGATTCGACTGGAAGTTCAGAGTTGTTCCAGCATGCGATTTCTTTCGAAAAAGTTTTTTCTTGAGAGTTCCTTCGGAGCGAATGACATCCACATCCATGGTAAATTTAAGTTTTTCGTCTATTTCGTTTATGAAGATCAGGAAATCGTCTAATTTTTCTTTTCCATGAGACCAAATTGCGAAGTACTCATTCAAATCTCACATAGTTACTGCTGGGTACTGGGGTGACATCGTGAAATCCTCCTCCAACTTGTCCATGAGTACATTAACCAACGGAGCTGAGAGTGGTGAGTACATAGACAGACCAAATATTTGCTCATAGATGCTGCCGTTGAACGGGAAATAGATCTTCTTTATTGGTAGGTTGATCAATCGCGTTAGGTACTCTTTACGCATTCGATCTGTCTCCATGATGCCATTTTCTTTTCCCAAGATCTCCAGTAGTGCAGTGAATATTTTTTCTCCTGTAATGTTAGTGTGCATGGACGTACGTCAAAGCTCATCAAAAGTTCGTTTCTTTCCAACCCTGCGCCTTTGATTCTTTGACAAAATTCGTATGAGTTCTTCAATGTATTCGATAATCCGTCATTCACTTTCTCTAATTTTAGGCAGATAAATTTCGCCAATTTATGTATCCATCCACGTTTGTTGTTGGTTATCAATCTCAATGGTTCTTCTTTGTGTAACTTCGGCAAACCATATGCTACTAAGGCTCTTGGATCCATTCATATGAGTGACTTCATTGTCCATTTG